CTTTTCTCTCCCAGGTTTAAGTCTGTTCCAGATCATCTGCTCCCTCCAGGGAGGCTGCCAGCCAGCCCCACCCCACAGGGACTCCTCACTCTGAACTTCACTAACTCATTGTCTCTCAGGTGCTATTTGGCAGTCAGACTGTGCTCCTTCTAGAGCCACTGAGATGCCAGGTGCAGCCAGGGCCTGGAGAGGGGCCTCTTGGTCCCAGAAACAGTCGGGCCCACCACCTGTGGTTTTTCTGATAAAAGCAGTGGGGTTCCTTCCTTGTTGTTGTTAAATGCCATTGAGTTGTTGAGTCTAGGAAACTCATAGCAACCCTACGAACTTTCTTAATTTCTCCAAATTCATAGGGTTTCCAGAAGAAAGCTATTTCAGAAGTGGCTGCCACCCCTGCTTCCAAGCTTGTTTTAATCGGGGAGCTCTGCCAAACGCTGTCCACCATGGGGGACCAATATTGCATTTGGCACATCAGTGTCACAGTGTTCAGCATCACAGCCACCACGAGTTACTTCTGTTCAGCAAATCGACAGAGCAGGGCTATACCACTGAGAAGAATGTTTGACCATAAACAATTAAAACCAGGCCTGAGGGACGCACATTAAAATCACCCACCTTTGGCTTGGTAGCCTCACATTCTGTCCATTAGGCCAACTGAGCTCTCTCTATGTTGTTAAATGCCATTGAGTCGTAGGTGACTCATAGTGACCCTGTGAACTTTCTTCATTTATGCAATTATAATATTGCACATTGGAAGTCACTATTTTATGATATATCAGACAAGGAACTAATCGCTAAAAATTTATGGAAAGCTCCAACACCTCAAACAAGGAAAAAACAACCCACTTAACAAAATGTGCAGAGGATGTGAAAGACATTTCACTAAAGCAGACGTTCAGATGGTCAACAAACATGAACAAGTGCTCAAATCACTGACTGTTGCTTTTGTTGTTGTGGTGGTGTACTGTTGGGTCAAAACTAACTCATAGCTGACCCTCCAGAGGGTTTTCAGTCACTCTTTAGTCACATGGGAAGCAGTTGCCTATCTTTCTCCTTGGGAACAACTGGTGGATTCGAACTGCATGCCTTTGAGATAGCAGTGCAGCTTCTTCCCACTAGATCTCCGTTAGAGAGATGCAAATCAAAACAACAATGAGATATCATCTCACCTCAGCAGCAATAGTAAATTCAATAAAACAGTAAACAACGAATGCTGGTAAGAGTATAGAGAGATTGGAAATCTTATTCACTGCTAGCAGGAAGGGAAAATGGTGCACCCACCATGTAAAGCAGTTGGATACTTCCTTAGAAAATTGAAAGCAGAAATACCATTTGATCTAACAATCCTGAAGAAATAAGAGCTGCTACACAAAAAGATATATGCCCACCCATGTTCATTGCGGCATTTGTTTATAACAGCAAAAAAGGAAAACAACTCATGTGTACCTAAAATGATGAATGGATAAAGACATCATAGTACATTCACACAATGGAGTACTACGCAGCACTAAAAAACATGGTCTAATATGAATGCATCTAGAGGACATTATATTGCATCAAATAAATTCATCACTAACGGACAAATATTGTATAGAACTATTATGAAAAGCTACACAAAAGTTTGTTGTCTGTACCTTCGAGTTGGAATTGACCCATAGCTCACCCTCTGGCAGGTTTCCAGAGGCAGTTAATCTCACAGGAGGAGATTGCCCATCCTTCTCCTGTGGAGTAGCTGGTGGCCTCGTACCATGTGCCTTTGGGATTGCAGTGCAGCTTCTTGCCAGTAGACCACCAGAGCTCATGTAAAATCTTTGTTGTGTGCTTACCAGGGCTGGGAAAAGAGGGAAGTTAAAGTTAGCAAGCACACAAGAGACAGATATTAAGATAGATAAAGGGGAAGGCAATATACAATAAGGACATGATCAGCCCAGTTGTTGTTGTTGTTGTTATGTGCCATTGAGTCGTTTGTGACTCATAGTGACCCTGTGTCCAACAGCCCTAAACACCGTTCTATCCTGTGCCAACATCATCGTCTCTGACACACTCACTCCCACCACTCCACTCACAGAATCGATCCATCTCATCGAGGGACTTCTTCTCCTGCGCCACCCCTCTACTCTCCCAAATATGATGTCCCTCTCCAAGGACCAGTCCCTCCTTGCAACGTGCCCAAAGTATGTCAGACGAAGCTTCAGAATCCTTGACTCCAGGGAACATTCTGGCTTCACCCTCTCCAGGATAAACCTGTTTGTTCTCCTA